TCTCTTTCTCTCTTTCTCTCTTTCTCTCTTTCTCTCTTACTCTCTCTCTTTCTCTCTCTTCCTCTCTCTTCCTCTCTCTCTTTCTCTCTCTCTCTCTCTCTCTCTCCCCCCTTCCCCCTCCTCCTCTCCTCTCCTCTCCTCTCCTCTCCTCTCCTCTCCTCTCCTCTCCTCTCCTCTCCTCTCCCTGTTCTTTTTATTCTTTTCTTTTTTCCTCCTTCCTGCCCACTTCCTCTCTTATTACCCCATAGAAACACTTCCATCTTCTCTCTACCTGAAGTTAGCCTCCTTTTGCTCTTTTTTGTCTTCTTAATTTTGGAACTTGATGGCTGCCAGGCTTAACAACTTAATTTTATTTGACGTCACTTTATTTATGTTTAATTTATTACTATTATTACTATTTATTACTATTATTACTACTACTGTTACATTGGAGGGGTTCATACGCCCTGCTCAGATCTCTGGATCTCCCGCTCCAGGCGATGCTTTTAGTGCCAGCTGGGACAGCGCCGCCTTTTCTGTGCCCTGCAGCTCCTCGAACACCGTGGTGCAGGTTGCACAAGGTGGAAACAGTGGGAAGGTGCTTTCGCTGGCACCTTCCTCGCGCCTGAGGACATACGGAGCACTTCTGCGGGACRCAGCCTTCCTGCTGGTGCGCATCCCTGCTGCTTCACGGCACTTCGTGGAGGCTTTAGCATTAATTTCCATAGCGATGCTGCCTCAGCCTAAACAGATTCCCCRATGTGCTGTTTGGACGTGCCGAACRGCACCTGGCAGTTACAGCACATGGGTGTTTTCTTGTTGCCACAACCAAATGCCGGGGCTGGGTCGTGCGACGGCCCTGCCGGGCAGGGCAAGGAGCCCATCTGGGTACCCAGCAAATGCCTTAATGCACCCTGGTTATTTGCTCTCGAACCGCCTCTTCCCACTGCTTGGAGGAGGCAGCTTGCACATAACCTATGGGGCATCTCTATGTGTGACCCACGTCCTTGCCCCGTTGTGCTCCTGCCCAGCCCCTGGCCATAATTCAGAGCATCTCTCCCTGCTGCCATGGGCTTGAAGGAGCTGAAGACCTAGAAGCTTCTCACCCCTCTCCTTCTCCTCATACAGGGTCCCTACTTGGGCTAGAGAAAGGGAGGGTGATATGAAAGAACCTCCTATCCTCATGAGAAGCCCCTCGTGGTGCCCTCACTGCTACAAGTTCTTTCTGTTCCCGACTAGTCTTAGGGCTGCACAGGGACGTTAAGCACCGTATTCGACAGCCCGTCCTGTGACGTGGGTGGTGAGGCAGGAACGAAAGGAATGTTTTCCTAAGGCTTGCTAGTTTTATTTAGTTCAGTTCAAAATAGTCCTTTGCCAAGGGTAACGAGAAACGTCACATGAGATGTTACGTTAAGGTGGACCTGAAGCTTTGTAACCAAGTAACTAGAGACTTAGGTCTTGCACTCAGAGCCTTGCACTAGTGGCTTCTGAAATACTGTTCTGTCTGGTTCCTCCTGGATATTGATCACCATTGATAGGTGAATCACTCCTTCTTACCCTATTTTTTCACCCTTTGCCTTGTAGCTTTTATATTAAAAAAAAAAAAAAAGTTATGTTTCTTTTAACTTTGGAGCCCAGTAGATAGCAGAGTGGATAGGTCATTTAAATATCCAGTATATATTACCCAGGAATATTCCTACGGGAAGCTTAGCAAGTAACCACCATGCAAACCCTTGGACAGAAATAACCTGCAGATCTTGATGAAAAAACACCTGGTTCCTGTGAGGAAAAATGCCCTTGGGATCTCCTGCTCCACTGGGTGCCTGGGAGAGGGCATTCGTCTGGAAAACCCTTTGGCTTCTCTCCCCGGCTGGCCACTGAGAAGAGTTTCCGTTTTCTTTCTTTGAGCTTTCTCTCTCCTTTTTTTTTTTTTTTTTTTTTTTTTTTTTTTTTTTTTTTTTTTTTTTTTTTCCTCTAAATTTCTCCTCTAAATTAACTTAGAAGTCAATATATGCGATCAATTACGGACCCTGATAAAAAAGGCTTTATGCATGACACCCATTCCAGCATTCCTGGTGCACCATCCTCTGCAAAGTCACCCTGTACGCGGAGTACAGGGTCTGTACTCTGAAGTCTGTTGTCTCTATACTCTGAAGTCTGTTTGTCTTTCTGTTCTTCTCCTTTGGCCCCTCCATAAGGTACTGTTTGCTAWGTCCCTTGTCAACGCAAATGCAGCAAACCATTTCATAGAGCACCTTTTGTTTCCTTCTCCCGGAAGGGCGCTCGGTGTTTGCTACGGAGCCCTGCCTGACTGCACGGAATTTAAGTGTTGGATTTGCACCGAAAAGAGCCCAAATGCAAAGAAGTCAGAAATTATGTTTCAAGGAACATAAGCCACGGTGAGAGATCTGTACCCTGCCATGAACATTAACCCCATCCCTTATTTCAGCCCGTTGCTTCTCCACCTTTTGCCCTCTGCAGTTCTTCTTATAAGACAGCCCCGTCAAGGAAGGAACACAGAAAGAGGCAGATTAGAGATAACATCTCTGAATATGCTTTATTTTGGKGCAACTCGGAGACACCCACATTTCCTTTCCCCTTGATCCGCTTGGGTGATGTATTTGCTGACGCTCTGCTTCTCTGCCTTTAGCTCCTCATTTTGCTGCCCATTCTTTGACTCTTCAGCCTGGAGCACTGATGACACGAAGCTTCTCACAGAGAAACTCAGCCCGCTCAAAGCTTCATTCAAGCTCTGAGGATTCCTTGTGCGAAAGGAAATCCCAAGGGAAATGAGCCTGGCAGCTGAATCCATGCTGTCCAGCTCTGCGTTGCAATAGATTGCTGCTCTGATTTGCTGTCTCCCAAGCATTTCCCAGTGAGAAATCTGTGCCTAGTGAATTCAAGTGTTTTGGCAGTAGCTATCTGTCACCACTTACATTTGCAGTGGTCCATGAACTCCAAGCAGACTTCAAACCTCAGTTTGAAAATCAGTACAAAGATTTATTCTTACTTTTTTCAGACGTAATTTGTGTTCTCTCTGTTGGAGGGATCCACCACAAAGCCAGATTTGGGGGAGGAATTGGATTTTGCAAACCCATGGAAAAGTTTTGCTCCTTCAGTGTCCTCATTCAAGGTTGTGTCCTCTATTTCCACAAATGGATTTAAAGCCATGATTTGGGGTGACCTTGTAGAGATAAAGATATAGATTATCTGTTAACCCTGGTACAGTTTTATGGTCATAGTCCATCAGTGGTCTGGTTTGTAAAAGAAACGTATGAGGGTTACTGAAACTGGGCACAGTTTTGTATATAAAAAACTTGACCTTTCAGTCCACAGCAGCTCACACTTAAATATTGATACCTTAGAGTATTGGATTTAAGCAGAGCAGGCTACGTACAGGCTAGAAGTGGATAGTTGCCCGACAACTTTCTTTCTCAGGATAGATTAACTGGTTGAAAAGCAGGTGTATTTTGGATGGATATAAAGTCAGCATTGAACTTTTCATCTGATGTTCACATAGATAACTGTGGAAAAACATTGCCGAAAGAAGCCTATGAATAAAGGCAGCGCTATCACCCTTATGCAACTCGCTCTGCGCCGCTGTCAAGGCTTCGTGTGGCCGCTGCTCTGGGTTTCACTGAGCTCCTGGGGCACGAAACAGCTGGGGCAGCAAGAAGAGAAGTGACTCTGTGCGGGGGCCAACTAGGTGAAAGGCTGCACTTGTTGCATSGAGTGGCTCAAAGAGCACAAAGAGCCTGTGTGAGGGACACGGAGGCCTGCGGATTAATGGGGTAGGCAGGAGAAGGGAGGGAAGGAAAAAGAAAGRAGGGTGGGAAATGCAGCAGGGAGGAAAGTGCGGAAAAGGAGTGCACAGCCAAAGAGGTTTGGTACGAGGAGCGTGCACAAAGGCAGCTTTACAAGCCAGCCTAAGTGAAGGGTGTCTTGCTAGGCTAGGAGCGGGGCAAATGGGCTGCTGTGGCTCCAGGGAGGCAGTTTGGGTAGCTGCCTGCTGTATCGTGTGCTCATTTATTGATATATAGGAMAAACAAATAAAAAAAAGTCATCCTGATGAAACACTTAGAAAAAAAATAGTAGAAAGACAATTATTGCATTTTTATCCCTTTAACTTTT